GGCTGTCTGATAGCGCTTTTGGCAATGGAAAATCAATGTTTCTTTCACATCATAAGGGCCCACTGACGCAAAAGTCTTGCACGGCATCAAGGCAAATTGGGGATGAATTACCATATTATCATCCATGTGCCAATTATTACAACTTTGACCAATTCAAACATGGCATGCATGAGGGTAAATTGGGAAATTGCTTTCTTATGGCCTGACTTTTGCACTTCAATTCTGCAGAATTTGTTGAATAAAAAAATCAGCAACGATCGATTTTTTGCTCCTTCAACGGTCTGAATTATACTGGACCATGCGCCCAGACAGCCCCCTCACTTTTTTTGGGGTGACAAATGGCTCAGCGCAACCAAGCCTCCATTGTCAGGCTGCGATGTGGGCCTGTTGGACTAACAAATCGAACCTCACCGCAAAATATGACAAAACCAAAGGCCTGGCCCAGCACGCGAAAAAAGCTAGACCAGGCCACCTAAACGTGGGCCTTTCCGGCTTATACGATCTGTTGCATTGTCTTGCATTTTAGGCTCATATTTATCCATACATTTATTGCTGTTTCTATCCTTAAAATCTATGTTTTTAACTTGTGTTCTTTTCTGTTTATGCAGGATGAAGCAACAACGCAGTTATGGAATTTGTTGGGCTGTGATGTCAATTATTCAGTCTAATTAGACTACGAAATGGGCTTGGCCCAGAATAATACCATGGTCTGATAAAAAGGATAATTACATAAAACTAGCTATTTACTTTTAAGTTTATGAAAATCAGATTTAAGCTTTTTTTTTTAATTAATAATGATATTATAAAATTAAAATAACATATATACCCACCTTACTACCTACTCCCACCAAATTTATTTTAAATAAATCCTAAATCTACCAAAAACCCTAACCTAATCAATTTCATTTAAATAAATCCTAAATCTACCTACCCAAAACGGTCGCCGTAATAGTCGCCTGAAATTAAGTGTAGCCGGAGAACTGCCACCGAAGTAGTCGCTAGTCGTCGGAGTAATCGTTGGAACAGTGAGAGTGGTGGAGGGGAGGGGAGGGGAGGGGAGAGGAGGTGGGTTGGGGGTGGGCTAATTATATTGTATTACAGTTAAACTTCAATTGTTGACGCCTTCAATTATATTACAATTAATTATATTATATTACAGTTAAAATTTTTGATCCCTTCAATTGTTTCTGAGTACGAGTTCTTCTGGTCTATAGAAACAACTTCGTTTTGTAAAGTTCTATTTTTATTTGTTCATTATGAGATTTTGTACCGTACATGAAACAGAACCAGTTAGGAAAAGCCTGAAAATATTTTTTAGATGAACTAAACAAAGGTTCTCATTTTGTCCCTGTTTGAACCACATTATTTTTTTCATTCTCATTCTTCTACTTATTTTCAACCACACATTTTTCAATAAAATAATATTTTCCATCACATCCATAACTTTTCCTTATTTTTNCATTCTTCTACTAATTTTTAACCACACGTTCTTCAATAAAATAATATTTTCCATCACATCAATAACTATTCCTTATTTTTTAACCACATATTCTCTATTACATCACTTCAAAAAAATGTATTCTCTCATTCTAATGTGCACCAAACGGGCTCTTAGATAAATTTGTTATTACAGTTGGGTATCCTACACTTTACATTGCGATGACGGGGCACTGCTGAATACTTTTAAATTTGTTTGGTAAAGATTAAAATTCAATTTTTAATTTAAATCAAAGTAAACAATGAATTTTAAGCACATATTTCATGTGTCTCACAACTTTTCAACAACATATGTCATCAATTTTTATCAAAATTGACTGAAAATCTAATTTTAATCACTACCAAATAGACGCAAAGGAATGGATTGGATCATTTCAACTTTTGCGGTAGAGACATAAGTTTAAATAATTTTAAGTTTAAAATTTTAATCTAAATTAAAGTCAACAATGAATTTTAACCACATATTTTATGGGCCTCGCAACTTTTTAACTACACATTTCATCAACTTTTATCAAAATCTACTAAAAATTTAATTTTAATCCCTACCAAATAGAGGCAAAGGAATGGATTGGATCATTTCATCTTTTGCGATGAGGACATGAGTTTATATAATTTTAAATTTTCAAACTTTTAAATGAGATGAGATTACACGCCAGATATAATTAAAGGAGGCAAGTGGACTAGACTATAAAGGAACGAAGTTAGTCAAATATATTATTCGTTAGATGATACGCGAAAATGACATTGGCCTGTCCTTAAGAGGAACATCGAATTTAAAAGTCACTTTCTATTTTTAATTCATATTTTTTATTAGCTTAAAATAAGCAGTAAAATACTAATTAAATAATAAAAAAAAAAATTAATGTCTGACAACCCCCGGAAGCAATCGGAACGTCATCGAACTTTCTTTAGTTAACCTTTTTAAATCAAGATTATTAGCCTGGATATTTCGTTCAACCTTGCTTGGTGTACAATCATTAGGGAGTTGTAAATCTTACAACCTCTCACATTAGTGTGAGACCCACAAATTAATTAATTTGTGGGTTCCACACT